CCTTTTTTCCCTCCCTCCTTTTTTCCCCTCCCTCCTTTTTTCCCCTCCCTTCCTTCTTCCCTCTCCCTCCTCCCTCCCTCCCTTTTTTCTCCTCCTTCCCTCTCTTTTTTCCTTCCCTCCCTTTTTTCCTCTCTTCCTTCCTCCCTTCCCTTCCTTTTTTTCCCTCCCTTCTGGCTGGGCTCTTCCCGCCATGGCAGCAGGAGCTACAGGGATACTTCCACAAGATTTTCCTGGCCTTTTTCCTCAGAAAAATGCTTTTAGCCAAGTCGGGAGGTGCACATAAGCACGAGGAGCAAATTCATCACATCACAGACTTTATCCTGATGCTGTAAGAATCCTATAAATCTGATGAGATTTGGGAAGGCAGACACCCACCCCCCCCAAACATTTTCTATTACAGTCTGTAACTGATTCACCTGTTTGGCACTGAAGCCCTAGATAAGCTTTTCCCCATATCTTTCCTGGTGGTGGTGTAAACCACCTGGAATCACACAGTGTCCTGAGCTGGAAAGGACCCACAAGGATCACCCAGTCCCACTCCAGGCCCTGCATAGGACACCCCAGAATCCCACCAGGTACCTGGGAGTCTTGTCCAATCCTGTGTAAATGCAGACAGAGGAAAACCTCTCTTGCTCCATTAACTAAGGAACACAATAGGCTCAGCCTCAGGTCCAAAGGACTCGGGGTGGGAGGCTGATTTCACTAACACCACTGTGGGTGGTTTCTCACTGACATTATTCCTGACTGCTTCTCCTCCAGCTGCAGGGAAATCCACCTTTGTGAACACTCTGAAACAAGCTGGTGAGGAGTGGGAAGTTGTTCCTGAGCCTATAGCTAGATGGTGCAATGTCCAGCAAAACTCGGGAGAGGATTATGAGGTAAAGGAGAAACACAGTCAAATGTTCTCTTTACAGAAAACCAACATATCCATCAGTTTTGAGACTCTGTGTGATAGCAATGCTTTTGCTGACTGCTTGCATGATGTTTGACTCCCTCTTTTCCTGTTTGTTGAGGAATAATTGTTGTTTCATAACAAGATGTAAATTCTGGAAGCACTAAAAGCCTCTTTCCTGTATCAAAGCAGTGGATGGGGAAAAGTGAGGCAGAGTTACCTGTAGCCACTGTGAGCTAACCAGGTGAGCACAGAGAATTGTTCTGGAAGGTGTCCTTGGAGTGTCTAGGGAATAGTGCTAAATTATAGTGGGATTTTTTCTCCCAGCTCCCTGTCATTCCATTGCCAATCCCCATGCTGCCTGGTGGCCAAACCCCCCTGTGCAGGTGACTTTTGAGGGCCTGGAGATCTCAAAATACCTATCAAAAAGCACAATGTGTGTTGGTTAACTCACTGTAAACCTTTCCCAGGGGAGTGTTGCTCCTGCCGCCTTCTCAGCTGGATTTTTCTGGAGTTAGCTCTCTGTTTTCCCTTTCAATCCAGGAGCTGACCACGTCCCAGAAGAGTGGGGAGAACGTGCTGCGGATGATGTATGAGAAACCAGAGAGGTGGGCCTTCACCTTCCAGACCTATGCATGTCTCAGCAGGATCCGTGCCCAGCTCAGCATCCTGGATGGAAAGCTCCAGGAGGCAGAGAATCCTGTGGTCTTCTTCGAGCGATCTGTCTACAGTGACAGGTACGTGAGCTGGAGGCCTCGAGGTGGAGTTCATGGTTCTCCCAGTTAAAACCATGGAATCCCAGGAGAGTTCAGGTTGGGAGGGACCTCTGGAGATCATGTAACCCAAGGCAGGGTCACCTAAGGCAGGTGACACAGCAGCACATCCAGGTGGGTTTGGAATGTCTCCAGACAGGGAGACAGAATCATTAAGGTTGGAAAAGACCTCTGAGATCTTCAGTCTATGATGTAACACCACCATGGCACTAAGTGCCACATCCAGTCTGTCCTCAAATACCTCCAGGGATGGTGACTCCACCACCACCTCCCTGGGCAGCACATTCCAGTGCTCTGCCACCCTCCGTGGAAAGAGATTCCTCCTCACATTGAGGTGGAACTTCCTGTGGTTTAGTTTATGGCCGATAAAGAATGCATAAATAAATGCCCTATCCTATGTTTCTGGATTCAGAAGGCGAGACTTGATAACTGGATGCCATCCCACAATCCTTAGGCATTCTCTGTGTTCTAACGTACTCTGAGTAAATAACCCAGTGTACAAACCTGCTGTGGTTTGTAGGTTATTCCTGAACAGCTCGGCTACACATATTCCTGCTTTTGTGGACATAGTTACAGGAGGAGGCTACCAGTGTTAATTCCACTTCAGAGATGCTACAGAATTGGTACTGAGCTTCTCCTCTAGTAACTGTACTTGAGACAAACCAAGGATTCCTGTGTCCAGGCCAGTTTGGGTTTCCAGCCCTGTTCTGTGCCCACAGGTACATCTTTGCAGCTAATCTGTATGAGTCTGATTGCATGAACGACACTGAATGGACCATCTACCAGGACTGGCACGACTGGATGAACAAACAGTTTGGTCCAAGGCTGCTCCTGGATGGGATCATTTATCTCAGAGCCACTCCTGAGGTGAGGGGTACAAGTGTGTGGCTGCACAGAGAGCAAGTGTCCATGTTCTGTGCTGTGCCCTTGGTGGCTAGAGTTCAGCTCAGGCTGCAGTAACCCCTGAGCACTGTCATACTTGAGCTCTGACTCAGACAGGCTGGAAACACTCAGAAAAAGTCCTTTCAAATGCAGCCTTTGTGTTTTAAAATAAACTGTAATGGTAATGACTTTCTAACTATGAAAACAGAATACATGACAGCAGGAAAGGAGAAAATACCACTGAAACAAACCAACCAACCTCAGGGATGTGTAGAATAGCTCTAGGAGTAGCTGTTTTCCAGGGAATGTAGCTGTAGAGGGGGTAGACACAGCAGTTAATAGTGATGGCACAGCTGATTTAGGGCTGGGCCATAAGTCCTGGCACCTAAGACAGGTGAGGGCACCTCTTCTACATGAGGCTTAACGACTCTGCTTTGGTCTTTGGGCATCTAATACTGGTTTAAAAGGAGAGAACAACTAAATGAGTGAACTTTGAAGCATGAAACCTGCACAATCAAGAGAAAAATGTGAGTTTAGAAGAGCTCTGAGTCACTTACTGGTCATGTCAGTGTTTCCTTACTTGCAGCTTCCATGCTTCCAGTTTTGTTCTGGTTGTAAACTGCGGCAGAATGCAACCTGCTGGAGTTATTCTGAGGGCTAATTTTTGGTCTGTTTAAGACAAGAACATTTATTTCAATCACTAAGCACAACACTTCCACAGTTTTGGATGGTTGTTGAGGCTTTGGATGTGCTCAGGATGGGAACAAATAATTTACTACCTTGGAAAACAAGCAGAAATACACAGTGAGATTTTGAAACACCAAGTGGATATTTCTGTGCTCTTGGCATGCAATACACCAATTTGTTTTTATTTGATATCTTTTGCCTCTAGAAATGCCTGAATAGGATTTACTTGCGCGGCAGAGACGAAGAACAAGAAATCCCCATTGAGTACCTGGAGAAGCTTCACTACAAACATGAAAATTGGCTCCAGCATAGGACACTGCGGTAGGGTTTGTTGGATGGCTCCTTGAAGATGGATAAATCTTTGTCAGGGTGTTCCATAATGCTTTTTCCATCAGGGAAACTTCAACTGAACTCCAGGAATATTCCCATCAGTGCTTTTTGAGTAGTACTGTCTTTCCAGCACGCCTTGAGCTCTCTCCACACAGAGCTCTGAACAGCAGAGATTCAGCTGAGCTCACTTTAATACACAGTGGAATTGAACATTAGGTGCTGGGGGAATAGAATGTTCAAGAATCACTAATGTATCCCAGGAATCAGGCTGTAAATTCAGGATTCCTGGCTGCAATTGATGGATGCAGTTCTTTCCATGCATTTCTTGACACTGAACATGCTGACAGGGGTTGAATGTTGCCTGCAGTATTTCCAGCTGCTAATATTTGCTTTGTTCCTCTCCCAACACAGAACAGATTTTGAGTATCTACAGGAAATTCCCATTTTGACACTGGATGTTAATGAAGACTTCAAAGGCAAAAAGGACAAATATGATCACATGATTGAAAAGGTAAAGTCTCACAGGCAGAACAAACTGATGGGTTAGGTTGCTCTAAAAATACACTTTGCTATCTAGTCCTTCTGAAGTATCTAAGTCATGGAGTTCCATTCTGAATGAACAGAGCTGATTTCAAAGCTGCTGCATTTCAAAGCTAGGCCAAACCTTCAGCATTTAACTGCTCAGGTGTTCGGTGTCTGAATCCCAGTGGGATTCTAGCAAGGACAATTTGGCTTTTATCTGAGCAGTGCAATGACTTCCAGACCTCAGCAGTGGGGCACACACGTTGTTCTGCTCTTTGGAAACAAACTGTTACCTCACAAGAAAAGCAGCTTTGTCCTTTGATCTCTGTTGATCCACCCAGAATTGGAACTGTTCACCTGATTAGAACCAGTCTTCCTGCTCGAGCTCATTAATTGATGGGATGACTGGACATGGCAGCTGTGGAGGGAACATGCTTCCCATCTGCACAACATGAGATAAAGCCAAGCTCAGGCAGCTAAACAGGCGTTTTGGAGGAATTGACTCTGGTGGAGCTTTCAGGTTATCTGGGAGCAGCCCAAGCCCTGTGTTGTCCCTGCTTTTTGGCATGCTGCACTTGATGAGCTGTGTGCTGATGTCCCATGGGGATCCAGACCCTGTGTGCTTCCTTCTTACCTCTGTCCTGATACTCATCCTGAAGCTGTGCCTGGTGTGTAAATCCTGACAAGGTTCTCCATGCTGCTGCTCTCCAAAGTGGAGGGTGGTCTTCTTGTGATGCCTTTCAAGTTAGTCTTGGCACAGTTATGTGTTCCGTGCTCTACAGGAAGGGATTTGACCTCTTTTTACCCCCCACCTCCTTGAGCCTGACCTGGGAAGGGAAGGGGCACAGTTGGAGAGTGTGATCCCAGATCTGTTTCCATTTCACATCGAACGTTTGCAGATGGGCTCTGTGTAGCAGAGCCTCTGCCAAATGAATAACACTGTGTTGTCTGGTGAATGGTGGATTCCTTTCCCTGGAGTAGCTTGGCTTGAGTGGACAGAGGAAAATGCTCCCAGTTCAGGCTATATCACAGCCTAGTGGTTAGGAAGCTCCTGAAACTTAAAGGCGGGAACTGTGAGCCTAGCACTGATCTCCAATATCAGATTTTTTTCCAGGCACTGTGGTTTTCCTAGGTATTGCTCTATTATTTCCTTGCCCACCTCAGATTCCAAGGAACTTGCTAATCAGAGGCACTGGGTTGGTTGCTGGAATGAGACCCGAACGGTGTTCTGGCAGTGGGTGTGACTGTGGTTTCCAAATGGCAGCTCTTTGGAAGTGGTCATTATTCTCCTCCTGCTGGGGTTACACCTGCTTTGAAAAGAATTCCTTTGAGACTTAGGGCTGTAGTTGAGGACCACAGGAGGAGTGAGCATCATTCCAATGTGTCTCTCCCTGCACCATGGCTGGAAACATTCTTGATGGGGAGGTAATGGCACAGCCAAGCCTGAGATTCTTTCTTCCTGTTTCTTTAGGCTGTGGTAGAACATAAAGCAGCAGAGAGGTAAATACAGTTGCTATCTTTTTCTGTTGATAAACACTTCAGTTTCATTGACAATACTTGTTTCTTTTTTTGCAGGTCAAGGAATTTTTGGGCACGTTATAATCCTCCTTGGAGCACAGGCAGTCAAACCATTCCAAACATCTGTGTGATCAAAGTCTCAGCTTCTGCTTTTGTAGGAGGCCTCTGGAGAGGCAGGACTCAATCCTGGTGATTGCACTGTGAGGAACAAATAAACTTTGTGGCTAGGGAAATTAGTGAATAAATGGGTATTGTCTGTTCAGCATTGTAGTAACACAGATTCTGAAGAGAAAAGAATTCTGGGCATCCCCAAGTATTGCCCCCATTTGTAATCAGATCTATGAGCTCTAGAGTATTTTATTGAGTTTTTTTTAACTTATTTTGTGTCCAATTGCTATTTAATTTTGAAGAAAGTCGTGGGGTTTTTAGGTCTGTCCAGTGGTTTTTAGTAGCACTGATTTGTAATGGATGTCTTGTTGTTCTGAGAAAACCATTTTTGCTGCTGAGAGAATTTGAATATAACCTGGAGTTTCATATTTTAAGGCACAAAAAACATCTGATGATTTTGCTAGATGAAGTTCTTCACAGAATACACTGAATAAAATGCAAATATGGCTGAAATTCTTTGGGTATCGAATGAGATATGATATCTGTTTCCATTATGCACCACAAACTGGGATATTCAGAGGCTTTCCATTCTCTAGCCTGTTTGGGGTTTTTTCCCTGATGTGTTTTTAAGCTCTGAATAAAGCAGAGCTGGCTTTATTGGTGGTGATTCCTCTCCTGGAGGGGAGTATGTTTGCTTGCTGAGTACTGCAAAAGGAAGGACATTTTGCAAGTGGCTTCCATCTGTAACTGGTGTGCTTAGAAACCATCCCATTTGGCATTTGGGATGTCAGAGGTGGCGTCCTGCTTTTGTTCAGCTGCTCCATGTGCTCACTGGGACCCCAGGGTGCTTACACTGTTTGAAGTAGCCTGTCCTGTTGTAGTGAGAAGGGGAGACCTGTCTGGAGTAGCTTCTTGTTGGATTCACTGAGCCTCTAGTTCCAGGTGCAGAAACCAAACCTTTCAGGGTACACATCTCTGGGTGCTGTGAGCTGCTTTGCTCTGCTTTGAACATTTCTGAGTGCACAGTTGGCTTTTGAAGGCAACATTTTATTGTACAGCATTTTGTTTGCACATTTTGTCTGTGGTGCCTGTGACCTGCTCGCTGGTGATCTCCTCCTTTGTGGCTGGAATTGTGCTGGCATTCTCTAACCATTGGCTGAACAATAAAGGTGGTTGGAAAGACATTTTCAGTCCTTAACAGTGTTGACTCTGTTGTCTCATCCAAGAAATAACACTGTGGATTGCTGGTACATAATCCTGGTACAGTGGATGAATTGGAGGTTATGGATTCTGGGTGGATTTGGTGTAAAAGTCCTCTAAGACTGATGAAAAACTGTAGCTTTGGATTTTCATTCATGTGTGGGAAATGAGCTTATGGGATAGAGACACAGGATTACACAAAGTGCATCCTGTGTGTAACTCGGTGATCAGCAGGAGTGTGATGTAGAATATTTATGTTGTAGTGGAAAGAAAGTAACATCCTGGCAGAAAACCTGGTGTGGGGCTTGAAGGGTGCCCAGGAGAAGGGAAGATGTGAAGAGGTTTGCTCCAGAAAGGAAGTGAGGTGGAATGGATGAAGACTCAGTTCAGATTTACTTGAAACACATAGTAGAAGCTTTTAAAGCATTCTTGGCAAGAGCCTGAACAGTAACAACTTATTTTGACTAACAGTGCAATTATTCCTACAGTTTCAGCTGTCAAAATTGTGGATTTAATTACAGGAATTGGAATGACAGTGCTCGTTGCAAGGAAGTAAACACGTCTGAGTCCTAATAAAGGCTCCTTTTGAAACCCATCACAGTGAGCACACAGAAACACTGTGGCAGGTTATCTGCAGCCTGTTCCAGAAAGCTTTACAAAGTCTCTGCCTGCCAAGTTTGGGCTGGAAGGAGTGAAGTCATGACCAATTATTAGAATGATTTTAATTGCTGTGCAGAGAGAAACCACAATAGCAAACCCCAACGCACACCCCACAGGCCCCTGGGCCTAGGGGGCTCTGCAAGTGGCTGGGCTGGAGTTATCTCTATGTAGGACAGACAGCAGCAGAGATGTCCTGAGACCTCTCCCTGTGCCTCAGCAGTACCCTAGCCTCCTGAACCTGTATTTCCTCAGCTAAAGACTATTCCCAGGCTGCTACAAACCAGGATTGTTGTGCTGGGCTTCAGAGATGTGAAAAGCTTTGGAATTGGTGTCTGGATGGAACTTGGTGAGGATGGTTTATCAGCCTTTGGGTGCTGTGTCCCTTTTCCCTTGGGTAAGAGAAACTCTGATGGACTTGCCTAGGAATGCTTTGCTTGTTTTAGTCAAGTGTCATCATGATCAGAAACAAACTTGGGATGTGATTTTTATCCAGTTAGGATGCATTAAATTAGTGGTTGGTAGTGTTTTAATTGTGATGCAATTGTGTGAGCAATGGTCTTTGCCTCAATTTATTCTCAGTCCCTGTTGATTTCTGTACAGTGGATTTTAAGTTCATATGAATGCTCCTTAGAACAGCAACCAATTTTGTAGGTAGAACTTAGTCTTCTGTAAGTTTCTGCCACTTACTTACTCCTACAGTTTTCTATTTACTTAAGCAGACTTGATAATGGGATTGTATATAAAATGTGATCAGTATTGAGATGATTCTCTCCTTTTCCCAGTAATTAGAATCTCTTTCAGGAATCTCTTTGTGAAACACAAATGACCCAGGACAAACTCACCATGAACTGTGAAGCATAGATCAGGGAAGTGTCTGTATGCAGCAATAATTAAGTCTATCTGAGGAGAAACCTGTGTGCAAGTGCTGTTGCCAAGAGGTCTCAGCACAGCTAGGTGAAAGGACTCCCAGGTGGTTTGTCCCAGCTCCTGTTTAGACTTGCTGTGTGACTGTGAGGAAATAAATCACTCTCTGCCTCAGCCTTTTCATCTCTAAAATATTGATACCTCCCCGTGCCCTCAGGAGCCAGGGAGAATGCTTCACTTCATATTGATGTGCTCTTTTGTAGCTCTGAAGTGCTCTGGTAAATAATTGAGGAGGAAGACAGCATAGGTTTTTTGGGATGTTTGGATGCCCCTGGCCCAGATTTGTGGCCAAGGGGAATGATTTATTTGTTTTACAGGGTATTAAAAGCCATCAGTGCAACATCGGCTGTGTTGAAGCCACTGAAAACTGTCACCATTTGTGAGGAAGGGAAACTTGGGAATAGTTTGATTTTGAAATACAAATTGATGGCAAAAACTGTACTGGAGTTGCTGTAGCTAGTGGTAGCTAACAGGGAGAAATCCATGCAGGGATCTGCCACAGGAGGTCATCATGTCCCTGAGTCTCTGGGCTGGCTGGGAGAGGAGCATTGTGTTTGGAGAGATAAAGAAGGGAGAGATGACTTCCTCACTCATCCAGAGTGAAAATATCACACTGATGAAGAAATTCTGAATGGGATCTTTCCCTCAGGAGGGAGGGAGTAAAGCAAGCTCTGCTGGATTAAGTGAAAGACCAGAAAAGGCTGAGCTAATGGGAGGGGTTTGGTCACCAGAAGGTCTTCCGTGCAGCCACCAGCTGTTTGTGTTCTGTGAGTGAATATTAGCACATGGATAACACTAATCCTGGTGTCTGAGCCATCGAGCCTTTAGTGCTGAGCTGTCCTGCCTGGACACAGCCTGGAGCAGTGCTGGGAAGTAAAGCACTTAGCTGTTCAAACTGTGGCCACACACGGTACTTAACATGCCAAACTAACCTGGATGGGGATGGATCCTCCAAAATGCTGACTGAAATCCAGGGGTGACAAGGAGTGTGGGTTCCATGCTGGGAGTAAGGCTGAAGGGATTTATTTTACCTTAGGTTGGTATAATGTAGCGCTCAGAGCCCAAATTGGAGGCTTTTGTGTGCAGGTGACTCATGTTGTTCTTCGACCTAAGTTTCAGTCTATGGGTATAGAGAATGTGATGGCAGCATAAACAGGAGTATGGTGCATGCTGAATGAGAGTGTAGCTATTACCTGTGTTGTGGATCTCTGCTGCTGACTGCTCTTTCCTGAGCAGTCCTGAGCAGGCTGGACATTCCCTACATGTATCTCCAGGATGTCCAGGCTGTCCGGCTTGCCCCGTGGATGTTTGCTGGCTCTTGGTACTGACTGGCTTGGAGGAAGACAACTGGTTCCTGAGGGCTATTCACAAAGAAGTTGCCACTGCAGTTTTTCCAGAAGACACCCTGTGCTTCCTCCTGTCCTGCATTTTGTGCTTCTCTCTCCAATTTCCTTCTCAGTTGTTGTGACTTGTCTTCTAATAACTGCTGAAAACATGATCTTGTACAAGTTGTAACAGACATGCTGAAGCCAGTGCTTGAGGATGTGGCTCCTGCCTTGTTCCAGTTGGGTGTCTTGGGGTTTTCTAGTCCTCTTTTCCAAGCAGTTCTACTGAGTTAGCCCACCTGATTGCTGGGGCTCTTCCTAGCTGCTCCTGGTTTCATCACTGGTTATGGATGTACACTGAGTGTGCCCTTCAGATTTGCCTGTGCTGGTTTGTTAAAACAAAGAGGTGTTGCTCTCTCCTGAGCTTGCAGTGCACCTTTGGTGTTGTCCTCACTGTGGGTCTGCTCATGGCCTTTGCCCTGACCCCTCAGCTCAGCACAGTGGCCTCAGGTCATTGACTGGTTTGTTGATCCTGTGTCCTCTCTGTGCTGTGCCTCGTGAGGAGAAGCTCCTCAGTCACAGAAAGCAGGACTAGACTTTTAAGGTATCATTCCTGATCTGCAATGCTGCTTCTCTCCTAAAGTTTTCCCGAAGTGGCCCAGAGTAACTGGGTAGGTGTTCCAGGCATGCTTATCCTTGCCATGACACCTGAAGAGCTTGTTCCAGTGGGGTTCCTGCTACACTGCCCACTTCTGGCTGCTTCAACCAGGCTGGTTTCTGACTAGCAGACTTGCTCTGCATTGGGACACAGGAATATAGCTGTTTTGTGGAGCTGAGCAGTTTTAGGTCTTGGAGAGTGAATGAAGA